TTTTTTTTTTTTTTTTTTTTTAAAGACAGGCACCTATGTAGCTTAGTGGGCTAAGCATGCAACTCCTGACTTCAGCTCAGGTCACGAACTCGCAGTTAGTTGAGATCGAGCCCCTCATCAGGTTCTGCCCTGACAGTGCAGAGTCGGCTTGGGATTCTCTCTCCCTCTCTATCCCTCCCTTGCTCATGCTCTCTCTCTCAAAATAAGTAAATAAACAGTAAAAAGAAAGAAACAAACTTCCAAGGCCAAAGAGCTAGACTGTGGCAGAGGTGAGATTTGAATTGAGGCAGTTTGAGGCCACAATCCTGCTTTTAACCACTACCTACCCTGCCTCTTGGAAAAATATAGATGATGATCTACGGGGCCTGGATCATCACCTGTAAAAATCGGGCGTTCTACTTTCTGTCCTGCTCGTACTGAATCTCTGCACTACCAATTCATTTTTGGCAGATGTGCCCTCCCTTGGCAACCCAGCACTATGATTCCCAGTTGAATTTTTGGGCTACCTCACGAGTGACTCCTCTATTGCTCATTCTCTTAATTCTGGTGTTGCGAGAGTGAACCCTAACACGAACTATGGGATTCGGAGATAATGTGTCAATCGATTCTGCCAAAGGGAACATTCTCATAGGGAATGTTGATAATGGAGGAGACTACGCATGAGAACAGGGGCCTTATGGGAAATCTCTGTACCTACCACTCAATTCTGCTGTGAACCCAAAACAGTTCTAAAAAATAAGATTTCTTTTTTTTTTTTTTTATTCCTATATTGCCCAAGCATCCACTTTTGGCTCTCTTCTCACCCTTCGGCACTCTCCCTGGGTGATCGCCTCCACAACCTTAAGAGAATTCATCCTCCACCCTGAAGCCAGAGTAACTATTCAGAATGGAATTAAAATCTGGTTATGTGACATCTAATTAAAACCTCGCTGGGATCGCTATCGCCTCCGTTAGAAATCCTCCAGCCGGGCATGCGGACATTCCCTCCCTACGTCCCAAGGTCTCCCGAGGCACTTCGGACACCCCTTGCCTCGCACTTGACGCTTCAAAACACACCGTACAGGTTGTTTCCTCTGCCAGAACGCCCTCGCCTCCCCCAACTCCTGCTCTCGCTTCCAGATCAGCTCCAGCTTGCCTCCACATTCAACTGAATTTCCCAAAGGCAGGCTCCCCTGGGGCAGGAGCAGCCTCCCGCACAGTGGAAAACCTGCCAAGCAGACAGTGCCCCGGCGCCCACTGCCCCCCGGCTCTCCCTGGCCCCCACGTCACGGACCGGGACTCCAAGTCCCAGCATGCCTCGGGGCGGAGATCGCTGGAGAGACCCGGTCCGCCCAGGTGCCCGGCGTCAAGGTGAGGGCGTCCCGAAGACGGGCGCTTTCCGTTAGAAGCAGGCGGGGCCCCTCTCCCAGCCAACACTCACTGACGGACTCCAGTGCCTCCAGCCGCCCCGGAGCCGCGGCCTTTGAACAAGTGGTTTCCAACCCGAAAGAAAGGCGCCAACCGCTTCAGAGCCGACATGCCAGCCCGCGTCCGGATCACCGTTCCCAGGCCGCACCGCCTCTTACGTCACTTCCCCCCGGCGCCCCGCCCCGTTACGTCATGACGTCGCCCCGCCCGTCTCCCAGAAGGTGACGTTTGCCGGGGGAAAGGCTTTAGGAGTCTCCCGGCTTCAGGCTCAGCTTTAGGAGACCCTCTTTGCGCGCTTGTGCTGGGAAACCAACACTGAGTCTGCTCACTCGCTCCTCTCTGACTGCTCATCTACACGGTGTTTTCCCACCTCCATCCGCTCCTCTGCCTGTTCTTCCCTAGTTAACTGCCTTCTGGACCCCCCTTAAGGCTGCTAGACCCTTTCTGAAGCAGATGACAAAGCGAGTCCTTTGTGCTCTCCTCTCCTGAAAGAGGCTCACAACAGTTTTCTTTAAAGTCTTCGTTTTTTTATTGTCCTGCCACTTGATTACCAACCAGCAGCCAGTGGTGCGCAAATACCAGTACATGGACTGGTGGCATCAGAATCACCTAAGGAGCCCGATCCCAGATACTCTTCAGTCTGGAGCAAGGCCAAGGAATCTGCATGTTAGCGTGCTCTCCAGTTTATGCAGTGCTCTAATTCCCTGATCCTGAGCCAAGCCCTAGATTCTTGACTTTTGTCTCCTAATATTGCCTTCCATTAAATCCTGGATGGACTCTAAGCTCCTCTAGACCCCCACACCACCATCTCCCCCCAACCCTCCCAGAAATTCTTAGGGTCTTTACTTACCGGTTATGGTCTTCCTAAAAAGTTGCAAGTTTGATTAACTGATTTATTTTTTTAAGTTTGTTTATTTATTTGAGAGAGAGTGTGCTCACATGTGAGCGGGGGCAGGGAAGAGAGGGAGAGACAGAATCCCTAGCAAGCTCCATGCTGTCAGGGCAGGGCCCAGCTGAGGCTTGATCTCCCCAACCTGAGATCGTGACCTGAGCCAAAGTGAAGAGTTGATTGCTTAACCGACTGAGCCACCCAGGCACCCCCCACAAGGTTAACTTATAGACTTAGCCTGCCAGCCTCACACCTTGGAGATTTCTATTTGAAATGCATCGTTTGCTAAGCCCTGAAGACTTCACTCTCAGAGTCACAAGCATGAAGAAGAGGATACTTATGGAGAGAAATGCAGACCTAAATTTAGGGATTTCAGTGCACTGAATGTAACTGACATCCTTCCTGTGCCAAGATCTGGGTCTCCATGTGCCCTGTAACAGGAAACCTGTCTCCCTGGAGTTACACTCACATAAAGCTTGGAATTACTGAGTTGCCTTGTGACCTTCTGAGCAGCCTATTAATTTAACCCCTGGCCCTGTAGAACTCTCTCCCCTGTTGTCCTGCCCTCCCAACTTGTAAGCTGGTGTATAGAGGAGAGAATCCACTATTTTCTGGATGAAAGTTGACTTTCCAGTTGATACACAAGAGCATGGCTTCCTCTGACCAACTTACCCTTTCTAGTGACATGTATGACCACTAAGATACGAAGTTCATGAACTGGGAAGACAGAGCTTTCCATTCTTCCCTGGGAGCTCACTGCCCAAGCTACACAACTTCCCTGATCCCAGCAAAGAATGAATTTGTGATTGCAAGGCCAAGGGGCGGGGCGGGGGGGGGGGGGGGGGGGGGGGGGGGGGGGTGGAGCACAGCTTAAACAAAAAAGAGCGAAAAGATCTGGAGTTCAAATAGAGTTAATAGGGTCAAATCGAGTTAATAGCTCTATTAGCTCTATTAAAGTCGAGTCACTTTACTTCTCTGAGTATCAGTGGCCCCATCTGAGTGCGAGTCTTCTAGAGTACCTAGCCCACCACATGTACTCAGGAAATGTTTATTCTTTGTTATTCTTTCCTTTCCTCCTAGCAAAAGCTATTCAGGGGAATTAAAATTCATCCACTCTTCCCATCTTTTTTGCTGAATTACTAACCAAGAAGTTTTAACTTCAATGCTTGCTTGTAATATTAAATAATTATAATAATGCTTGTAATAAAAATATTGTTTTATAGACCATTTGTAGGACCCTTAGCTTTAATGCCTTGCATTACAAATTCTGATTTTACTATAGTTTATGGTCCCAATCAGTAAAATATTTTGACTATGTAGCAGTGATGCCTATTTGTTTTCTAGACACGCTTTAAGAATTCCAAAGGGGCTGAGCGCCTGGGTGGCTCTGGCAGTTAGGGACAGACCCTAACTGACCTAACATACAGCATCTAACCCCAAATCAAGAACCTATTCCTTGGCTGGGAATAGAAAACAAAGCAAGGAAGCAAGGAAGGGAGAGAAAAAACAAAACAAACTTTTGTTCACACAACTTCATGTATCATTTCATTTCCTACGTTTAAAGGCTTGATCTCCCTTTCCCTAGAAGTCTTAGAAAGAAGAAAGGAACCCATCTGTCCAGCAGTTTTAGTAACACAGAAATGAACCTTATTCTTCCTACTTTAGAAGGGATTGAGTTGTGGTCGCTCTTCAGGGGACAGCCACCATGCTGCCCCTTTATCCACTTACACCCAAGGAAGTAGCCTTTTCTCGGTAAGAAGACGACTTGAAAAATGAGATTTAACATTTTTTAAGATGCTGAATTTAAAAATCAGCCAATGGGGCGCCTGGGTGGCGCAGTCGGTTAAGCGTCCAGCTTCAGCCAGGTCACGATCTCGCAGTCCGTGAGTTCAAGCCCCGCATCAGGCTCTGGGCTGATGGCTCAGAGCCTGGAGCCTGTTTCCGATTCTGTGTCTCCCTCTCTCTCTGCCCCTCCCCCGTTCATGCTCTGTCTCTCTCTGTCCCAAAAATAAATAAACGTTGAAAAAAAAAAAATTTAAAAATCAGCCAATTACCTACATTAAAGCACATTTGTTGCCCATTTTTCTCCTCTGAGACAGCCTGTGTTCATTTTCGGCTGCTGCTATAATGGCTCCCGAGGAACTGAGGCCCTCAGTCCAACAGCCCACGAGGAACTGAAGTGTGCCAACAGCCACGTGAATGAGCCTGGCATCGCACCCACCCCTGTGGAGCCTCAAGATGCCCGCAGCCTGGGCAAAACCCTGAGCAGGGGCCCTGGCTAGACTGCACCCAGGTTTCTGACCTGCAGACACTGTGAGGTACTAAGTTTTGTTGTTTTTCAGCCACTAAGTTTGGGGTAGTTTGTATGCGATGTTAGATAACTAATACATGCCACCAATGGTTTGATTAAATCCATCGGCTTTAAGGCAAAGCTCAGTACTGCTGAGACAGGCTCAGGGCGGCACCCACCCTGCACTTGGACCCTCTCTCACCTCACAGTGTAGGTGTACGTGCACTTGACACAAGGGCTCTGTGTCTGGCTGGAGTGCCCATGAGGAAGCTGAACAGTGCCACTGCCCACCCCAGCTATCTGGAGCCACCCCAACCCCTCACTGCCTGACTAGAGTGCCCTCCCCTCAAGACTTGATAAGTAAAGGGGTGCCTGGGCGGCTCAGTTGGTTAAGCGTCCAACTTTTTATTTGGGCTAAGGTCATGATCTCACAGTTCGTGGGTTCGAGCCCCGTGAGGGGCTCTGTGCTGACAGCATGGAGCCTGCTTGGGAATCTCAATCTCTCTCTCTCTCTCTGCCCCTCCCCTGCTCACACACACTCTCTCTCAAAAATAAATTAAAAAAAGACCTGATAAGTAAAATTGCTATCCATACCCCTCAAAAAAACTGCCCCAAATGATCCTATGTGCAACTAAACCTTCTTTGCTCCCTAAAAGACAAAGGGGAGGAACTTCATCCTTGAGAAGGAAAGAGTGGAAGAATCTAGTCCTGTGGTCAGACCAGAACTTCCAGAGAGGGAAGGCTTGACTTACTATCTAGAGCAGTGGTCTCCAAAACAAGCAAGAGAATCCTCTGTGATGTGGGAGAAAATACTATTTTTTATCAAAAAGAAGAAGAAGAAGAAGAAGAAGAAGAAGAGAGAAAGAAAAGAAAGAAAAAGAAAGAAAGAAAGAAAGAAAGAAAGAAAGAAAGAAAGAAAGAAAGAAAGAAAGAAAGAAAGAAGGAAGGAAGGAAGAAAAAGAAAAGAAAGAAACTAAGTTTTACTGATATCGGCTCTACAAGCTGACCCTGGGACCCGCTTAGTCCATGGGGGCCCACCAGTTTTAGGGAACTGACCGTGAGTGGGCCCAGGGCAGAAAGGCAGGCAGTGGCCTCCTTAATTCATTGCTGGAGAGCGTCACCGTGTGCTACTGCAGATGTCAGGCCCTGGTTTACAGAAGTTCTCATTATGTTACCTCTGTGTTAATATCAACCAAAATTAACCCTGGACGAATGGGAAAGGGCCTGAACACTGCTCAGAGACTGCAGTATGAATGCTGGTATGTGAGCACCGGGGAACTTTAAGAAAATGGCAGAGAGGATTCTGTCCCTGTCCCTACTGTGGCAGCCATATTAATCACTTTACCTGGTCATAACATTTAGCAGGTCACCAAAAAATATGAAAAATTATCAAGAAGATACTTTGAAGTACAGCAAAATTTGCCCAGAGCATATACCGTGCCTTCAGAGACCTGCTGGTGGCAGTAGAACCTGTACAAAACTTCTAAATACGTTATGTGCATGCAGGTATGTATGTAAATAGACTCAACTTTTCACTAGGAGGGTACCTCATCAAAAACATTTGGAAGCCATGGGTCTACAGGATTCTGTGACATTTTCTAACCTAAATATCAGAGCACTTGCAGGGCCTCCCTGATTGGGAAATGTGCAGGGTTAAGAAGAGAAGAGAGAAACGAGAAAACAAAATAACTAAGTTTATTTGTCCTCCTCCGCGGAACATTTTCCCTGAAAGCCTCCCTGACACCGGGCCCAGCTCCCACGCTGAACGAAGAGGAGTCTCCCCACCCTTTCCTTCCCCAAATAACCCAAAGCTTTTCACACAGAAGCCTGAACCAGGTCAGAGCTCCAGACCTCGGCATGCCTTCCACGCATACCAATTTGAAAATGTCCAAGCTGCCACAGGAGAGGCTGCCAGGGGTGGCCTTCAGTTCTGAGACGAAAGCCCGCTGCCTGCCCACGGCTGCGGTCAGCGGGAGGACGCTGGTCCTTTCAGAAGGAAGGGCTTCGCTGCCTCCAGGATGTCCAGTTTGGGGTCCAGGGAGCGGCCAAGCCCCTCCAACACCATGATGGCGAACACAATGGAGGCGAAGTTGCTCTCTAGCTTTACCTGAAACAGAAAAACTGGTTCTTGCCAAAGCCCACTGAGAGAGAGAGAGAGAATCCTGGATAACCTGAGAGAGAGAGAGAGGATCCTGGATAACCATTCCATGCCTGTGATTTCTACCACCTACCTACCACTCCTCTCCCGACCCCATCGTCTTCCCCACCATCATCTACTCCCCCAACCTCCCCTCTACTAGAAATATTGACGGAAAATCTGGGGGATGAAGCACGTACTTCTCTAGGGGTGTGTGTGGATGAATGACTTAAAAATGATAAAATGACTATTTCACAGCTGCACGAGGGTCATCCTTCAAGAGCTGCAACGGCCTTTGTGAGACCGCGCAAGAGGCTTTGCTCAAACAGCATGGCTGCCTCCCCTTTGGAGCCCGGGGAATAGTAGCAGCGATTTAAGTAAATTACTCAACTAGTCCGCAAACGTACTGTTCTCCACATGCTAGAGAAAGGAAGCTCAGGTGCAGGGTGGTTAAGTGATTTATTCCAGGCCGCTGCGTGAGGTAGAGGAGAGCCAGAATTTAAACCTGGAAGAGCAAGAATCTGCTTTTCAAGAGCACAGAAGGTCAGAAAATGGAAGGCTGACTCGGGGAAATAATCTCTGTTAAAAGTGAAACGTTATTGGGGCGCCCGGGGGGCTCAGTGGGTTAATCGTCCGACTCTTGATTTCGTCTCAGGTCATGATCTCACGGTTCGGGAGTTCGAGCCTGTCGGGCTCTGCGCTGACAGTGTGGATTCTCTCCCTCTCCCTCTGCCCCTCCCCCGCTGGCACACACGCTCTCTCTCTCTCTCTCTCTCTCTCTCTCTCTCTCTCTCAAAATAAATAAAACTTAAAAAAAAAAAAAAGGTAAAGGGCATTTGTCTCAGTTAAGACCTGAGAAGTTGTCTGGGGGTCAGGTCGTGCTTCAACACCACCAGAAATGCTTTCACTCTTAAGCTGAGGGGTGAGTTTGTGTTTGTTGTATTCTTTCTTCCACTGTTTCTGAAAAATGTATATGTTTTTTAACATTTATTTTTGAGAGAGAGAGAGACAGACAGACAGAGACAGAGCACAAGCAGGGGAAGGCCAGAGTGGGAAACAGAAACCGAAGGAGGCTCCAGGCTCTGAGCTATCAGCAAAGAGCCCGACGCAGGGCTCGAACTCAGGAGCTGTGAGATCACGACCTGAGCCGAAGTCAGAGCTTAACCGACCGAGCCACCCAGGCTCCCCTCTGGCAAATATTTTATCAAAAATTTAAGTGTCACTTGAACAGACATTTCTCCAAAGAAGATGTATAAATGGCCAACAAGCATATGAATAGATGCTGAACGTCACTAATCACTAGAGAAACGCAATCAGAACCACAAGGAGATACCACCTCACACCCGGTAGGATGGGCACTAGCAAAAAGCCAGACTGGATCCTTTGTATATTGGTGGCGGACAGGTAAAATCATGCATGGAAAAGCGGTACAGAGCTTCCTCAAAAACTAAAAAAAAAGCCATATGATATAGCAGTCCCACTTCTGGGTAAATATACAAAGAACTCGAAGCAGGACCTCAAAGAAATATTTGCACATCCATGTTCACTACAGAATTATTCATAACAGCCAAGAGGGGGAAGTAGCCCAAATATCCGTGGCTGGATGACCAAATAAAGAAAATACGGTGTAGACATACAGTGGAATATTATTCAGTCTTACAGAAGGAGGAAACCCTGTCACGTGCTACAATATGGAGGCACCTCGAGGGCATGATGTTGAGTGAAATAAGCCAGTCACAAAAGGACAAATAGGGCACGATTCCATTTATACGGGATATCTAGAGTCGTCAAAATCACAGAAACAAAGTAGGATGGTGGTTGCCAGGGGTTGCCAGGAGGAAGAAATTAACTGAGAGATGCTGATCAACGGATATAGCTTCCATTTCGCAAATTGAGAAAGTTCTAGAGATTTGTTACACAACAATGTGAATGTGGTGGACACTACTGAACTATGCATTGAAAATGGTTAGGGTTAGGGTGCCTGGGTGGCTCAGTCGGTTAAATGTCTGACTTCAGCTCAAGTCATGATCTCACAGTTCATGGGTTCGAGCCCCACATCGGGCTCTCTGCTCTCAGCACAGAGCCTGCTTCCCCCTCTCTCTCTCTGCCCCTCTCCCGCTCGAGCACACATGTGTGCGCTCTCTCTCTCTCTCAGAAGTAAATAAACATTAAAAAAAAAAAAAAAACTTTAAAAAATGGTTAGGATAAATGTATACATATATTTTACCTATAAACGTTTTTAAGTTTGTTAAAAAATTAAATGCCTGGTGAAATGTCCAGAATGCGGTACTTGTACTAGGTACTCTGTCGGCTCTCCCATCCTGGGAACAGCAAGGATAAAAGCAAACACTTCAAGAGCTTTTAACCACTGTGTCCCACACTGTGTGTAAGGAAGGCTGTCTGCGGAGTTAGAGCACGGGGGACAGGAGGACAAAGCAGGAAGAGTCCGGGCTCTGCGGTCAGACGGCCGGCACCCGGGTCCTGGCATTACCACAGGCGCCGTGTGGCCGTGGGTTCGTGGCTGGGCCTCTTGGCACAGGTGCCTGCCTTGAGGATGTTGAGGGCTTTAAATGGGAAAGTGACAACATGATATAGGGCGCACACAGGGACCCCTGCACACTACTGTGGTTACTCACGGCGGCCCTGGGGGCTGGGAGGCGCTCATTCAGGTCAGAGCTGGTGAGCCTGAGTCTTGGCCGCCTGCTCTGCATCGTGTGCGACTGAACTCCCAGGAGCGGATGTTCAGTCCTGTTTCCCTCCAACCCAACTCCCTAGCGATGACTAAAGCTTCCCCCAACCCCGAGGCCGTATGGAAGCCTCCTGCAAAACAGAACGTGTCAGAAGTTTTGGAAAGCATAAAGTTTTTTACCAAAACCCCACCAACAAGCCAACTCTAGAGTCAAGAGACAGTTGCAGGGGGGCAGGGGGGAGGCTGTGCCACGCACAGTTGGTGGGACGTGGGGAGTCACTTAGTCCTTCCGTGCCCCGTCTCTTCATTCAGATAACACGATAGAGATCAGACCTGCCTGCGGGCATTGTCCTGAGATTTAATGAGAAGCTGGATGCGCAACGGACCCCAGGTGGTAGGCGTCCTACACGAGCCAGCGGCACCTGTTCTCTCATGAATCCATAGGGTACTTGGAGACCCCTGGTCTGTGAGTCTCTTTTGTCCCAAGCATGCCACTACTGCAGAGTAGTCATGGAGCAGCACAGAGAGCACAGGACTGAGAGACCTGGTTATGTGTCAAGTCCCGGCTCCACCGCTGAGGCCCGAGAAAGAGAGCAGACCGGCCTCCCCCGCTGTGCCTTCTGTAGAGCAAAGGCGCCGGGCCAGACAACTTTAGGACTCTCAGCTCTGTGCTATGATCCCTGCCAAACAGCTGCCTCCTCCACGTGGTGTTTTATTACCAGACTGCAGAGCCTCACGGGAAATGATGGGAAAGGCCATCTTCAGAGGAGAATCCTCCCTTCCCCACCCTCAACACCTTGGCTGGCGGCTTCACTCTGAAGAGTGGCCCAAGACCACACTCCATCACGAGCAGAGAGAGCCGAGGCAAAGGCCAAGGTGAAGAACCATGAGGCCACTTCCCCCTAAGGGACTGGGGCAGGAGGCGAAGGCCAGGACAGCCCCACCGGGGCCTCTGAACCCCCCAGGACAAGAGGCACCTCCTCTTGGGCCACCCTTGACCCCGGGACGTTATGCCACACGGGAAAGAGGTTAAGTATGACTTACATTAATACTAAGCATCACTAACAAGAACTGAGGACGGAAAAGGCACGAAAAGCCCGAGTGAGGCGGTTCTGGCATTTGTGAAGACAGCCGGGTATTTGTCTCTCCAGCTGGGTATCGCGGGTACTTGGGCCGCTCGACCGAGGGGTACTCAGAGTCACCGAGAGAGGGAAACGGCCCACCGCGCCCGTGTCAGCGAACACGAACAGCACTCGCCACACGAACGTCCGCCAGGACGAGATCGCACGGAGGGGAAGTACCTCCCTCCACCCTGCGGCCACCCTCCGGCTTCCCCAGACGCCTGCCCTCCAGCCTGAGGAGCGTGGAGGCTCAGCTGCGCCTCGGGCCTCACCTTGTGAGTCATCAGTAACTTAAAGACATTCGACAGAAGGCTGGAAACTTGAAGCTGGAAAACAGAATACAACGGACTGTGCGGAGTCCCCACAACCACTTCTGTACCTTCCAGGTCCCTGTCCCACCCCGTCCTACCACCCGCCCCCGCCCACGCCCACAGCCACAGCCACACACGCACACCCACCCAAACACACACACAGCCACAACCACACAAC